CTCACTCATTCTCTCTCATTTACTTTCTCATTCACTCACTCATTCACCTCATTCACTCACTCATTCTCTGATTCACTCACCTCACTCACTCACTCACCTTGCTTTTCACCCACTCATTCACTCTCTCACTCATTCACCTCGCTCGCTCACTCTCTCACTCATTCTCTCTCATTTACTTTCTCATTCACTCACTCATTCTCTTATTCACTCTCTCACTCACTCACCTTGCTTTTTACCCACTCATTCACTCTCTCACTCATTCACCTCACCTCAGTCACTTGCTCACTCTCTCACCGCCATCGAGTTGATTCCCACTCATAGTGGCCCTGAAGGATGGAGTAGAACTGCCCACTGGGGCTCCCAAGGGTCTGTGAATCTTTATGAGAGTAGACAACCTCATCCTTCTCCCTAGGAGGAGCTGGGGGTTTTGAACTGCAAACTTAACAGATAGCAGCCCACTACACAGCTAGAGCTCCCTTGTGAAAGCTTCTAGGACAGAGTTTTACCTGCTGTCAGAGTTTTCATCGTTCATTAGACCCGAGAGCACGAGCCTGCGCACACACATACACACACGTTTGTGTTTACGTGGAAGTGTGATAGGCAGGAGAGTTGAAGAATCAAAATAACATTTGAATAAATTGGAATTCATGTAGCATTTAACTGTATCAAATTGTTTTGCTCTTTTTCTTCCAAGAGCAAAGTTAAGGGGGAAGTTTTTATTGTCTCCGTTGGCATTCACAAGACCTGCCTAAGCGCAGAGAGGCGTGATGGATGGTGGAGCAGGGGCCTGCACTCGGCTTTCTTCCTGCGCCTCATTGAGGGGGCTGGGGGGCAGGGGGGGTGTCACAACTAAAGACTAGAGAGCAAGCACAGCCCCAGGGAGAGTGTGGGCTGTTTAAGCAATGGACACCCCCCCATTTCTATTTGGGCTCATTCTCACATAGCTGTCCTACTGCCCCTGCACTGGCTGTACTTAGACCTGGTGGACAGACAGATGGTCGTGTTAAATAGGTGTCTGCAGCGATCGATTGTGCTTACAAATAGGAACGGCAGGCCCAGGGTGTGCTTGTTGAATGATTTCTGTGCCGCATGCTGTGCCCTCTCCCCACAGAATGACCTGATTGGTCAGAGCTTATTTGACTACCTGCACCCAAAAGACATCGCCAAAGTCAAGGAGCAGCTCTCCTCCTCGGACACAGCACCCCGGGAGCGGCTCATTGATGCGAAAAGTGAGTGCAGGGGTAGGGGGCTCTCCTGCGCTCACTGTCACAGCCTGGGCCTCAGGGTTCCTACAGCCCTGCCCCTTCTCTGGCTCACAGGGGCTATTTTTTGCCTCTGTGAGAAGAAAAAAAAGCAATTTTCAAATTTATTGGGAGGCCCAAGAGCTCTTTTGACCCAATTCTCTCTGATTTGGGGTCACTTCTGTTTCAGGATCCGTCGTAGGCTCCTGAGTTTAAAGGGGACCAGCCAGTCTTGAGTTGGTTTTGCAGAATGGCTTCCCTGCCTGTATGCGTCCCTGTTGCCCACTTGAGACCGCATAAGATCGAGGAAGAAAACCTCAGACATGACCGAACAGTCTCCTCCGCCAAAGGGCGTCCTTCTGAGATTCAATCCCCATCTAGCCGCCCCTCTTCAGACATTGGGGCCCCTCTTCCTATTCTCACCTCAGTTTCCTCTCCACTCCTCTCCTCCAGTGCCAGGGAGGCTGTGAGCTGCAGATGCTCTGCCTGGGCTCAAGTGCTGGTTGCACAGCGAACCAGCTGTGTGACCCTGGGCCAGTCACAGCTTCCTCCGTGCCGCTGTCTCCTGCCCTGGTGCTTGCTGGAAGCAGACCGAAACCACAAGCTCCTCCGGGTTGCCTGTGACTGCGTCCCCCTGGGCCCAGGGCCCCTGTGGCCTTCTCCCCCAAGACCCCATTAGAATCGCCTCCTTTTCTCCTGGAACGTAAATGCAGCTCCAGCCTCTGGGAGCCTTTAGAGTCTGGCCCTGGCTGGTTTTTTTGTTTTTTGTCTTCTGCCTTTTGGTTGAGGTTGAGGCCTTTATTTCTTTAAATATATGTATTGGCGGGTGTGTAAAAATACACACAATAAAGCATGCCCGTTCCGCAGTCTCTACATGGATTGGCTTTGATGGCCTCCTTCAAGTCGAGCACCAGCCTCCCCTCCGTTTCCAAATTACCGCCCACCCCATTCACATAAACTCAGCGCCCCCGCGTCAACAGCACCCCCCCTCCCACACTTGGCAGTCACTGATAACTTTTGCTTTCTATAATTCTCCTTTTCAAAATGTGCCATAAGGTCCACATAGAACACATCCATGCAAACAGCATGCACCCACGTGCACGTAACGCACACAGCTCCCACGGGAAACCGACCTGTGAGGCGGTGGTGTGTCTGAAAACAGCGCCCCAGAGGGTCCAACGTGTACATGTGTGAGATCATGTGAGATCACACATTCTTTGTCCTGATGTGGCTGAAGGGGTCCCTGGGTATCTAAAGTGGCTGCATGGGGCCACTAGCCAACAGCACCCAGGCACCTGGGAGAAGCCCGGTGGGACAGCCCCTCAGGGCATGGTTGTCTAGAATGGAACACAGGGAGCCTTGTGGTGTCGTGGCTCCATGCTGGGCTGCTAGCCACAAGGTCCGAAGTGTGAAACCACCCTCCCCTGTGTGAGAGAAGGGTGGGACTTTTACTCCCATAAAACGTTCCAGTCTTGGAAACCCACAGGGGTCGCTGTGAGTCATAACTCGGTGGCAGCGAGGAGACATAACGGGAGCCCCAGGTATGCGCATCACGTGGACTTTCATATTTTCTAGGAGCCAGTAGGAAAAATAGCAATCAATATAAAATTAACTTTACTGCTGTATTTTACTTAACCCAATAAATCAAAACTATCATTTCAACATGCAGCACAGTCCTGAGATCTTGTACAGGCTTGGTTTCTGTCCCAAGACTCTGGAATCCAGTGTGTGGTTCGCCTCTCTGTTTAGACCAGCCACGCCCGGCCTGGAGGCTGCACCTGGCAGCCAGTGGCAACTGTGATGGTAGTGCAGCCCTAGTGGAGGGGGTCTCATGTCAGGGACGTGCTCAGGGCCTCTCACTCACAGCCAGGTTGAGAACAACGGAAGGGAGCCCTGCCTCCTCTTCTCCTTTCTTAAAACCCCCATCTTGGCCACCCTTCCCAAGTCTCTGCTGCCCAGGTTCTGCCTGCCTCTGGAACCTTCCCCCCCAGAGCCCCATCCCATATCAGACTGCTCCGCTGAGGAGTACGCATGGTCTTGGCCAGATGGGGCTCAGCACCCATTGGAAACCAGCATGGAAGAGGATGGTGTGGTCACATCCATGCACGCCGTGAGCTCACCCAGAGGCGCTTGAGGCATTAAGACTTCCACAAGCCCAGCCTTCGAAAGCCCTGTGGGGCACATTCCCCACATGCAGCACAGCCCTAAGTCAGAATCCACCAAGGGCTGGTTCATGTGGCCTGTGCTGACAGTTATCCTTCCACGGCGGGCTGCCATTCTTCCACCAGCATAAGCTCATGCTGGGCAGGGGCCCGCTGGGTGCCCTGTTTCCCTCGCCCAGTGCCATCTGCAGACCTTTCTGTACGTGCCTGTCCACCACTCATCTGTTAAGGCCTACCCTGGGGAGAAAGGCCACTCTCTTGCCATCACCAAGAAGCAGTGAGGCTGGGGAGAGAGGGCTGTGTCCCAGGTGACACGCCCCTCCTGACAGACAGCACTGCTCTCAGTTCATCACGTTTTGTGTATTGATTTGCAGCCGGACTCCCCGTTAAGACAGATATAACCCCCGGGCCATCTCGATTATGTTCTGGAGCACGGCGTTCTTTCTTCTGTAGGATGAAGTGCAACAGGCCCTCAGTAAAGGTGGAAGACAAGGATTTCCCCTCCACCTGCTCAAAGAAAAAAGGTAACGGTTTCACAGTTCTTTCAAACCTGGCCGCACGCGGGGCTGTCTCCTTACTGCAGAGCTCTCGGCAGCCACGGGTTCCCAGGCCCTGAGCTGACCAAAGCCATAGGACCCAGGATCCCAAAAGCACAGTTTAGGGCTGTGGAGGACCAGTGGGGCAGAGAGCAAGAGCAGGGTAGGCCTGGGGTGTTCTCAGAATGACAGGTGAGGGGGCAGAGGGCTCTTTTTAAACTCCGTTTAACCTGGGTGGGAAGGAATGCTCTCAGACAAGACCCCAGGCACCTCTGGGACCCCCACCAATCCACTCCTTGCTACTTTCACAAAACACAGTCTGCTCTTTTCCGCTTGCTTCCAACTTGGCCTCTGCTTCTTTCTTGACGTGCTGTCCCACTAAGAACCCGTGATAGCGCATTCCTCTCACTTCCCGCTGCTGCCACTGCAGGCTCTCCCTGCACCAGGCGCTTCTTAGTGGCTCCTTCCTGCCCGGGCTGCCACAGAAAGCCATTCACCGTCCACTTTAAACACCACTCACGTGCCAGCAGCCTGCACAGTGTATTGTCGGTCCAGACTCGGCTTTGAACTCCAGCTCCATGAAGGCCCCTCATTAAGGCCAACTACATGGCTTTCTGGGGGGCACCACACATATGGCACATGCCAGAGCAGCCACTTGGGAATCTCCATCAGCGTAAGCAGTGCCCCTCTCTCCAGTTGCTCGTGCCAGGGTCCTGGGAGACGCCCTAGCCCCTGTCTCCCTATCTAGCCTGTTTACCACGTCCAGCTGCAATGAAGTCCACCTACAGCAAGTGTGTTAGACCAGGTTGACTAGAGAAACAAATCCCGGACACTCATATGTATATCATATCAAAGAGTAATTATATATTAGGAAAACATCCCAGCCAAGTCCAGATCAAGTCCATAAGTCCTATATTAGCCCATATGTCTGATACCAA